CCCCAATTTTATATTTTTTGTTGTTGAAAAGTTTTTTAAAAAAAAAAAATTTTTTAAAAAAAAAAATTTAAATTGTTTTTTTTTTTTCCAAAAAAAAAAAAAAAAAATACCCTTTTAAAAAAAAAAAAAAAAAAAAAAAAACAATTAAAGAAATAACATATGTTTTTAATTTTATTTTATTTTATTATAAAATTTTTAAAAATTTAAGGTCACTACATTATAGTACTAAATAAATTATACCAGCTTATTTATTTATAACCTATTTTAATATGTTTTTTATTTTTTTTATTTTTAAAATTTTAATTTTTATATTTTTAATTTAATTTTTATTTTTTTTAATTTTTTTTCAGATTCAAATGTAACTATTATTAGTTTTATTTTTAATTGATTTTTTTATATTCCATTTTAATTTGAAAGGACCATAAAATTTTAATTCAAAAACCATAGCTTTTTTTCAAAAATTTAATTTTAAATTAAAAAATATAAAAAAAAATTGAAAATAGGAGTGTTTTGTAGGGGGTTGGGTATTTAATTTTTTTGTGTTAGAGTTTTTATTTTTTTTATTTTTTTTTTTCATTATATATGATTTTATAAATATTGGTATTTTATTTTTTTTATTTTTTTTTTTTAAAAAACAAAGACTGATATGGTAAAATTATTAAAAATTGTTTTTATTTTAATTATTTTATTGTTAATTGGCATGAGTGGTTATTTTAAAAATCATTTTCAAAATTATTTTTATTGTTTACTTTTGATGTTGTTACAGCAGCCATCGATACTTAAAATCTAATAAATTGCAGGTGGAGCTTATAGATATTTAATTTAGTAGTAGTAAACACAAAACACTGTATTTTACTATTATTTTTTTTTTTTTATTGATAAACTGTAAAATAATAATTATAAACAATAATAAAATTATTTAAAAGTTTTGAAAATGGATGATGGGGTTATAATAAAGTATATTGTTCCAGGTAGTATTCTTTTTTAGTAAAAAAAATTTCTATCTATTTTTGTTGCTACTATTATTATCATTATTTTGTGGTTGTTTGTATATTGTATATATAGAGATAGATATTATTTAAATGAGTTTATTGTTATTTACATTTTATTGATAATGATAATGATGAAAATTTTGATGATGATGATTTTTTCAATCAACCAATAAGAATTAGTTTAGCATGGTTCCATATGAATCGAGATTTTCTAAAAGAATTGATATTTTTAATAAACTTCCATATATATATTATCAATTACACACTTATTTTCAATTATTTTTTAAAATATCAATTATCGGTTTAGTTCATATTCAATAACAAATAAAGACTATTCATTTTTTAAAACCACACTCTAACACACTGTTGTCAGTATTTTTTTAAAAATTATTTTTTCTTTTTAAGGGTGGTGCTTTTTAACCAATTTTGTGTGTTAATTTTTAAATATGTTTTTTATTTAATTAATTTGTTATAAATATTATTATTACTATTATTATTAATATTTGGTATTAATTATAATATTTTTATTCTGTTATTATAAGGGCTATAATGTAATGTTTATAATCAATCATTATAATATTTATAAATAAAATTAACAGTGATTATTGTTGTTATCGATTGTGTGAGTCTATCTTTTGTGTGTTTTAGTGGGTGTGGGTTAGTGGGTCTGTGGGGTTACCAACATTATTGTTTCTTATTACCCAAGGAATTTCATGTTTGTTCTTTTTTGTGGCTACTGCACTACTGGATGAATAGGGTAAAAATCTTTTTTTTTTTTTTTTTTTTTTTTTTTTTATTTATTATTTGGGATGATAACATTATTAATTTTTAATATATGTTTTTAGTTCCCCCCAACAAAAAGATTACCCACTAATCCATCCACACATAACCGAGCATCATTATAATAAATAATAAATAAACAAATAAAATATAAAATCAATTGTTATTTTTATATTTTTTATAAAAAAAAAAAAAAAAAAATTTATTTTAAAATAAATTAAAATCCATAGCTCATTTAACAATAGTCAATACCATTAATTTCTATTTTAGAAAAAAAAAAAAATTATGGGGGTATTATATCTCATCACCCCCCTATTAATTAAAACTGTTTAATTTAAAAAAAAAAAAGGGAATTAATTAATTAAAAATTAACAACCCAATAACAATAATACCAACAATGACAACATTACCAACAACCAAATAAATAATAACAATAAAACTATTAGTTGGGAGGTTTTTTGACATTTTTTAACTCCTCTTCACTCTATCCTAATTTTGCCATAAATATATAAAAAAAAAAAAAATAAATGAAAAAATAATTAATATATGGGGTTTTTATACATATTTCACGGTGAGCCAACAAAAATTTATTTGATTATATTTACAATAAAAAAACTTTCTATTGTCAATAATGATTTATTATTTTTAAAAAAAAAAAAAAAAAAAAAAGTTGTTATTTTTTTGAATATTTACAAATTATTTTAATTTAAAATAATACTCTTACTATTTATGTTATATATAATCATTATTCGTTATTATTACTATTATTATTATTACTATTTTCGTTATTATTAATATTATTATTATTATTATTATTATTTTCGTTATTATTATTGTTATTTTCGTTATTATTAATATTATTATTATTATTATTATTATTATTTTCGTTATTATTACTATCTCTAAAAAATTTAAAAATATATAAAATTTCATTATATGCTTTTCTTTTTCCTACAATTTTGTATCCAAATCCGTATCCATGCATTATTGAAATAACTTGTTTTGGCTTATTCTCTTGAACTAAAACCATATAAAAAAAACCTTTATCTGATAATATACTCTATTTAAATGTGGATTATTAATAATTTTTCTTTTCTTTTCTATTTAGGTATTTTAATTTTATTCTTACAGGTATTTGTGGTAATAGAATATCAATTACTTCACGTCCATTGATTCCACCGGCCCATGATGCTACAATACCTCCTTGGTTTACCTCTTCAGAAGGAGTAGGAACATAAGGTGGGTTAAATAATAAAACGTCAATTGAGCCTTTAAGCCTTTCGATAGATGATACAAATGATGTATTGATAACATCAATATTTGCATTATTTCTACTTGATGTTCTTGAAGTTGCTATCGCTGCTAAAGGGTTAATATCAGTTGACATGTAGTATCTGCCATTTGGTCCCAATAAATTTGCCAAGAACGTAATTACAAAGCCACTACCCGATCCAATTTCCAACATTATATATGGGTTCATTGTCTTTAAATCTTCATAATCCTTTTGCAAAGAATCTATAAATAAAAATGAATCTTGTGCTGGTTCGTATACATCTTTAAAATCTTTGGTTGTAAAATGATCCATTATTGGTTCATTTGCATTTGGTAAATCTGTATTTAGTGACATTATTTATAGTTATATTTATATTTATATTTTTAATTAATAAAACTAAAATAAAATAAAAAAATGAAAATTTTTTTTTTTCGTAATTTAAATTTTATTTTTTTTATTTTTTTTTTTTAAATTTAAAAAAAATGAAATCATTTTTATAAATAAATAATAATAAAACCATGAGTATAATTGTATGTATTTATATCCCATATAAAATTACCATAGTTTTCAATACTTTCAGCTTATTAACCAACTTTAACTCCTATAGGTACCAGGTAGATTCGATTTAGTAAACAAAAAATTTGATAATTTAACCATTGATAATATTGAGAAATCAATTGGTGAATATAATTATGTTAATAACGATTCAAAAGATTTAAAAAGTTATCATGTAATTATTGAATATTATTGTCACTTGATAATTTATTTATTTATTTATTTATTTATTAATAACATAAATTACTTTTGATATTCAATTTAGATTTTAGATTTATCAGGAAATGTTATATTTAATATATCTTTACACTCAATTTCAACAAACTTTAGTCATATTACAGAACTCTATTTAATCAATAATGAATTAAAAGAAATTCCACAAGAAATCAACACCCTTATAAATTTAAAAAAATTATATGTTTCAAAAAATAAATTAGAATCAATATCAAATATAAATAAATTAGAAAAATTAGAAATTTTAGATTTAAGAGCAAATAGAATCACACAAATAAAAAATATTGAAAATAATTTAAAATTAAACTAGTAAGTAAAAAAAAAAAAATAAAAAAAATAATCATTTTTTTAATTATATACCATTTTTTTTTTACATAGCATATCACTATCAAATAATTTAATTGAATCGATTGATGGTTTTCCAATATTATTAAATTTAGAAACTTTATTTTTATTTTCCAACCAAATTAAAGATTTTAATAGTTTTTGTAAAGATTTAAAAACCAAATCTCCAAATGTTTCAAAATTATTGGTCGAAAATAATCCAATGTTGGTAAATGTAAAGTCAACTTATATCCAAACTATCAAGGAATCATTACCTAAAATTGCCACAATAGATTTTCAAAAAATAAATTAATAAAGAGTTTAAACTAGTTTTTTTGGTATAATTTAAATTATTTGATATTTTTAATTTTTAATTTTTTTTTTTTTTTCATTTTTTTTTCTATTTTTTTATTTTTTATTTTTTTATTTAAAAAATTATAATTAATTTTATTCTATTTTTAATAAATTAAAAATAATAATAATAATAATAATAATAATAAAATGTCAGATGAACCAATTAATCATAAACTATTAGCAAGAAATAAACATAGAGGTGGAAAAAGTGTAGATAAAAATACCTCTAGAGGAAAATATAAAAAAGAAGAGTTTGAAAAAAAGAAGAAAGAAAGAGAGGAAATAGCAAAAAGAGAACAAGATCCAAACTATCAAAAGAATAAAAAAGATAATGTTAGCAATGATGATGATGATGATGATGAAGACGATGAAAATATTGAAGAGGATGGTTTCGCTAAACATTCAAGATCGAAATATAGCAAAAGAATTTTGGTTCAAAAAGATAACAGCAAACTTGTACAATTAGATGATAAATACTATAATCAAAGTTCAAAATTAAATATGCAATCTCTCATTGATTCAAAAGTAGATTTTATCCCCAAGTTTGAAAACTCAAGTAATAGTACAACCGATTTAATTTTGGATGAAATCAATATTGACTTTAATAAAAAAGTAAACGTAAACAACTCTAATAGTAATTCAAGTTCAAATAGTTTAAATATAAGCGAAATTGAAAAGATGTTATCTTCTTTTAGTTTATCCAAAAGATTAAATATTGACGAATATTATTTAGTAAGTTTACAATATTACAGTTTATAATTATAAATACGATGCATACTAATAATACCAATCCTATTATTATTTAGAATTCTATGAAATTACCAAATCCAAATAATGTTGTATATTTAAAACGAAAGTCAAATAAACATTTAGCTACAGATTCAATAGCATCACAGTCATCTCAAAATATTTCAAAAACAAATACAGATAGTTTAAATAATAATAAAAAAGATGACGAGAAAAAAGATCAAGAAGAATTCGATAAAATTATAAAGTCACCAATTAAAGATACTGCATATGAACCACCAATTGATAATGGAAATGTTACATCAGATAATTTAGAAGATTGGTTAGATTCAATTATTTAATAATAATAAATTTTAGATAGGTTTAAAAATATTTTATTTTATTTTATTTTTTTATTTATTTTTGTTATTGTTGAAGTTACTTTATCATTATTATTACAATTATTATAATTATCATTATTACTATTGTTTTTTCCATTATTATTCCTATTACTATTTCTTTTTGGTTTCTTATTGTATGTAAATACTATAAAAATAGTTAATAGAATTATTACCATTAAAGTAGTTGATAAAGATAGTGATGGTTTTGAATTATGAATTGAGGAAGGAATATAAAACAATTTTGGTTTATAGTTTAATTCAAACTGTACATGACAATAGCTTTGCTGAATACATTCATTGGATAGTTGAATTTCTTTGATTTCTTTATAGTTTTTTGAAAAAAATGATGAAAAGATAGAGTCTGATAAACTTTCTATTTTAACTGTAAAAGATTCTTTAAAATTCTTTGGTTTCTTTAAAATTGTAATAAATGTATTGAATGTGTTTATATCTAAAGATTTTATTAATATTCCACCATAATATACATTGGCTTTAATGTTATTTGGTATGATTGAAATTGAGTTTAATATATAGTCATTGAAATCTTTATCATGCTGGCTAATGATGCTATTGCCTTGGTTATTTATTACTATTATGTTTCCTGATAATTCGAATTCGTCAGTTGATTGGAGCTTGTGTTGAGAGTTTTTGTGCTGTTTTGAAATTAATATGAAATCATTATTATAGGTACTGTTATTTTCAATTCTAATTAATCTCTTTATTGGAGTTGAATGATATTCGTAATATGTATCTTCTAAATCGATGGAGGATAATGATACTTGGTAAACTCTGTCTGAAACTACCCTTGAAAAAATATAATTTCCATTTGAATCGGTATATGTTTTTCCTATTGGTAACAATTTATTTTCATCTCTTCCTACTTTAAATAGTAATACCATTATATTTGAGAAAGGAAGTGAATTAACAGACGAAACTTTACCATAAATTTTAAATGTTGACAATGTTGCAAAAAAATCTAATGTCTTTACTAATTCATTTTTTTCTTTTATTTCGTTTGGATAGCTTTGAAGTTGTAAAGTGTGATTTTGAGGTTTTAATTTATGGTCGATAATATGGCATCTTAAAATATATTCGTTTGGTAAAATATTATTAAAAACTGCTACCCCTGATTGATTGCTCTTTAAAACATATTTGTTAGCTTGGTCACTATGTAAGAATACACCATTGCTTCTCTCATCTTTGGGTGATAATGATACAAATGCATTTTCGAATGGTATATTTGTTCCATTTTCTTTAACATTCACTATGATAGTATATAACTGAGTCGAGCTGAAATCGAATGAATTTGAGTCACTAAAACCTGTAACAAATATTCGACCTTCTTTTTTAGCTGTTATTGAGTATTTTAAATCTGTATACATTGGTCCTATTTTATAATGACCATTATTATCTGTATATGTTTTTAAATTGAATAACAAACTCTTAATTAATTCTTTTTTATCCATTACTGGATATTCTCTATACAAATCTACAGGTTTTGCTTCGATTTCAACTCCTTTTTCACCAGATAAAACCCTTCCATTCAAAAATTTACCCAACATTGCTACAAATGGTAAAATAATTGGTTGACAGGTATGCACTGCTGAAACTTTTATAAATCTAGATATTGGATAAAATAATACTCTATCTTTATATTCATAATTATTGATCGAGATAACTGGAGTTATTTGAATTGTATCATCGTTTTCGCTTGCTAAAAAACTATAGTGATATCTTTTAAACGATTCAAGAGAAGCATCTATTTCATCAATTTTTACTTGTTCATAACCTGTTTTATGACTAAAAACATGAATTTTAATTGAAGTTATATTTGATTTTAGTTTTGGATACTTTTCAAATAGTTGTGTAAAGTCGACAGAACCCTCTAAAATGTACTTCTTTATTTTTAAACTAATTCGATTTTCTATATTTAGGGAATCTGTATCGAAATAGAATTCTTCATTTTCGAAATTAAAACATGATTTTACAATAAATTCGTGGATCCCTGGTTTAACTATTTGAATTTCGTTTATTCCTTCATTTAATTGTATATTTTCATATTCTCCTTGGAATCTATGGGAAATTGAAATATCGGATAGCTTTTTATTTATGCTACTTGATGGAGCTTCAATGAATAATTTAAAACCGCTTTGGACAAACTCTACACTATTTTCTTCTTTTGATACATGCACTAAAACTTCGTTTTTTTCCCAACTCCAATTATCATAGCACACCTTGAGCATATAGGTTTTATTTGGTAATAAAAAATTATATTCGAAATGAATTATATCTCCTTCTACATATGTTGTTGTAAAAATACCATTTCCCTCTTGACCATCTTCAATAAACAATAGCTCTACCATTAAGTCACTTGGTACTGGTGGATAAAATGGATATGTGATTGTTCTAATAGTACCTCTTATTGATGCCAATAATTGACTAAAAACTATTTCTGTTGGTTTATGCTCTACCTTGAATTTGATATCTCTATTTATAAGATTGATAGTTGGTATATGTTCATCTTTAATTTTAACTAAATATTCTGTTGATTTATCTGTTTTGAATGTATAATAGCCATTTGTATAAAAATTAAAAAATTTAATTATTTTGTAATCAGGTATTTCAAATTGATTTAGAATTGAATCTGTTATTGTTTTATCGGTGTTTTTGGTTTGTTTCTTTAGGTGTGTCATTATTAAATTTCTTTCTTCATTATCTAATTGTTTTTTATCTTTTTTCTTTTCATATACTATACATTCAATATCTTGATATACAATTTCTGAAGCTGACCTTTTAATATCAATTGAAATCGGTATTTCATAAGACAAAGCTCTGATATTTGGTAATGTTAACGAGTTTGATGATACTATATGATTTGAAAGTTTATTAAAAATATAATTTTCTTTTTTAGCCTCTATTTCAAATACACCTTCATTTATATAGTCTATAATGTATATACCGTTTGAATCTGATTCGGATACCTTTTCACCATTTAAATATATTTCTGCATCCTCAATTGGCTCACCAATATCGTTGAATACAAAGCCATTAACTGCAAAACCTTTAACTTGAAATGGAACATCAACTTCAATGGTACCATTACCATCAACTGAAAAATCAAACTCTTCAGGTATAACTTGATATTTAACATCATTATTTTTATAATTTGCTATAATTTTAAATCCCTCTCCAATTGGAACATTCCTAAAAACATATTTACCATTTTTATCTGAAACAGTTGAACAAACCAAACCATAACCTTTAATAATTGAACCTTTTAATAAAAAAATATTTTTAATATTTTTCTTTATTAAATGATAACAATATAAAATATTGTTTAAAACTTACTGGTTGTTGGTGTGCATCCTTTTATCATAGCTTTTAAAACATTCGAATATAAATTAACCTGAACATTTTTTAATGACTCTTCCTTATTTCCCATAACTTTACCAACCACATCAAAGGCATTTGCAATAAAATAGTCTTTTAGTACCAATTTATCATTATCGTTAAAGTTCAGCTCTAGAGAGTATTTTTGAAAAGACCAATTTGTTTCTTTTATATTAATTATATATTTATGTGCAGGCAAAACCGATTTGAATATAAATACACCATACTGATTAGAATTTATAGTTTGAATGACCTCATTGCATTTAACACTTGCTCCTTCTATATTCTGATCACATTCTTTTATTTGAACCAATTCGAGCTTTATATGTTGAGCATTATTTATAATTGATTTTTTTTCTAAAGATTCATCTTCTATTTCTTGATAATGATCTTCTAAATTTCCATAAGTATCCATTACATAATATTTCTTTTTTTCTTTGGAAAGATCAATATCTATTTCTTTACTCTCGGTTCTTTTTCTAAATGACTCTATAGTTTTTATTGAACCTTCAATTGAAAACCCTTGCAATTCAAAATTAATATAATTATCGCACATTTTCAAATCGAAATCTAAATTAATAACTTCTAAATCTATAAAAATAATTAGTATAATACCATTTTTTTTTTTTTTTTTTTTTTTTTTTTTTTACACATACTAAAATCCCAACCATTCGGTTTTTTTAATAATATTGAATATTGCCCTTTATTTACTATTGAAAATGAATAATAACCTGTCGATGAGACCTCCAATACTTTGTGAAATTTTCCATCTGATGATAATCCGATAACATTTATACTTTTTAATAATTGGTGATGATTCTTTAATAATTTATTAAACTTTATAAACCCATTACATACTATTGGCTGTGTATATTGGTTTTCATCTTCTCCTTTTATTTTCTTTGTAAATAAAAAATATAATAAAATTATATAAATGAGTATATATTTCATTTAAATTATTGATATTTGTAAATGAAAAAATATTAAAACATAAAAAAACTATTTTAAAAAAAAAAAAAATTAATTTAATTTTAAATTAAAATAATTTTCAAATATTAAATATATTTATACATTTATATGTAATCATTTATATACTATTATGTGCATGTGTGTTAAATATTATTTAAAAAAAAATGGGGGGAAAATTATTTTTTTTATTTTTATTTTTTTTTTTTACCTTTTCAAACATTATTATTTATTAAAAAAAAATTATAAATGATTATATAACATCCAATTTGGATATTCCTTTTTTTGAAATTTTTTTTTAAAAAAAATATTATAATTGATTAAATTTTATAAAAATATAAATGCCAATAGTCATATGAAATTTTAACGTTATTCTCCCACTCGTTTTCTAATAAACAATTGTTTAGGATGCATGAATATTGTCTGGTGTGTGAGTTTGTGCAAGATAATCTTGAATACCCGTCTCTGTATAAAATAATCTCGTTGTTTAAAGTGTATTTAACTATTGATGGAGTTTTCTTTTTTAAATCTGTTTTTGTTTTAGATTTAACATTTTGCTCCAAAACACAAATTGATGATGAGTTTTGGCCCTTTAAAAGTTTATATTCCTCTGCAAGAATTTTCATTGAACCACCCCTATGCTTTATACACTTATTAATCTCTTCGTATTGGGACTCCACATTTTTACTATTTGTTGACGAAGACGACTCTAACGGCAAAACATGTGTACCATTATTATAAAACAACTCCATATCATCGTAATAGATAGTTGAGACAACTTCACGTGAACAATCTTTATCTGAATAACTTATAAAGGTTAAAACACAACCACCAAATTTAATTAATAAAAAAATATTAAAAATTAAAATTAATATTTTAATCATTTTTTAAAAAAAATAAATAAAAAATAGTCTTTTAAGAATGTGCAAAATAATTAATTTTAAATTAAATGATATAAAACCCAAATATAAAACTTTAAATAAATGCTCTAATAATAAAAATAAAAAAAATAAATAATACTATTTTTCACTTACAAATCTTTTAAAATCTTTAAATAAAACCATCCCCCCAAATATTAGTTTTTAATCTAGATATATTTAATACAAAAATGGAAAATTAAATTAATTAATGAATTATTTAAAAATACTTACTTTGATAAGATCATTTATAAGGAAAGAAATGATAATTACTTTTTTATTTATTTTAAAAAATTAATATTGGTTAATTTTTTTGTTTTTTTTTTTTTTTTTAAAAATCAATTTATATTATTATTTTTTTTTTTTTAATATAATTAAAAAAACTCGATATAATTAATATTAATTAGTGGGATCGTATTAAATTTATGAAAAAAATTAAAAAAAAAAAAGATGAAACACATTTCTTTATTTGTATTCAATCTAATTGACTTTTGAGCATACCAATTTTGTTCTGGCCAAGCAACTTTGGTATACCATCAAAACCTTTTAAATGAAAAAAAGAATCGTAGTTCCATTATAGAACGTGTACTGGTAGCCCATTAATATCTGTTGAAAGAACTCACTCAGTTAGAAGGTAAAGTTTAGCTCTTATCCCAACCAATCAAAAGATTTCATTAGTATTTTTATATTATTATATGTTTTATTTTCTTTTAAATCGGTATATTTTTGCTGTGGCTAATAATTTATTTTGAAAAATCAAATTAAACCAAAATGTGATTATTTAAAAAAAATTTAAAAAATTAAAAAAAAATAAATAAAAAAAAAAAAAATTATTTTTTTATTTTACTTTTTTTTTTTTTTTTCATTCATTTATAATTTTAAAAATGATAAGATTATTTAATAGTAATAATAATAAGTTATTTATTTTAAATCAACTTAAAAATATAACCAATAATAATAATAATAATAACAATAATAATAATATAATTAAAAATGAATATTCAATAAATAAATTTAATTTAAAACAAAGAAAATCAATTTTTTCAGTATCATCATTCCAACAAAGAATTGTTGTTGAAAACAATGTCGAATTAGAACAAGATGCAGAATTTGAAAAAAAGAAAAAGTTAGAAGAAAAAAAAGAAAATAGAAAAATAGAACATAAAGAAAGAGAAAAATAAAA